AATATCATAATTGTTGCCCGGTGTCTCAACAATAAGTCATTCAGTAATATTATAATTGTTGCCCGGTGTCTCAACAATAAGTCATTCAGTAATATTATAATTGTTGCCCGGTGTCTCAACAACAAGTCATTCAGCAATATCATAATTGTTGCCCGGTGTCTCAACAACAAGTCATTCAGTAATATTATAATTGTTGCCCGGTGTCTCAACAACAAGTCATTCAATAATATCATAATTGTTGCCGGGTGTCTCAACAACAAGTCTGTTAAAATATCGGTTTTCGTTTCTGGCAGTCCGAAGCACAGATGACCTATTTTGTAGCTTTGCGCTTTAACAAAAAACAAATATATCATAACTAGTTACCCATGAGCCGGGCGTGACCTAACGGCTAGCGTACCTACTATTTTATGAAATTTTACCCTTTGATTTGGCCTATCCCCCCCCTTTTTTTTTTGACGTAAAGAACAACTTGGTTTTTCTTTTGTTACACTTAATCCATTATTTATGGCTTAATAAAATATATTATTTTATATTTTCGGGCCAGGAATGTTCTAAACTTGCCACTCTGGTAAATTCAAGATTAACACACTTGTTGTGAATAATAATAATATTTTTTAGCTGTTTACTTATGTACTCATTTTTCCTTTGAATTTATTACCACGGGTAGCTATAACAACAACAAAAGCACACAAACCTATAACATTGTAACAACTATAGAATATTCATTGGCTGAAATGTAGTAAATACTAGACCACCCGTGACCCATTGGGTCACCCACTATTCAGAGGGTATGAAGAATTCAAGCTAATTTCAATATTGCACCGAAATGAAGGTTTATTTTGAGATAATTTAATTAAATATTTCAATCCATTCGTGTTATTCATAATTCAAGAAAAGATATTTCACTGTTAATCGGGAGTAAAAGGAAAGACCATTTCATTTTTCAAAGAAAATGGGAACATTGACAGAGAAATAGATTTGAACGAAGAAGTTTCGTAAAGAGCGCGAACGGTAGTGTGACGTAAAATTACTCATTATAGAAATGTTCATAAAAGTGACCCGAAAAACGGGGCTAACTCGATAACACGTGACCCGATTTTAACGAAACTTGTTTTATTCTGTTTCTATTCTCATTTCATTACAAATATGGTGCTATTGAGTGCCATTTTTGCTGTATTTAATTACAGACAAGCAAACAAACAAACAATCTCAGAGTTTTAGTAGTATATAGATAGATTCACTACAGGTAAATAATTACAATTAGATTTTTTCAGGTTATTGTTCAAAGAGTCTTGTCAGCTAAAAACGTATCACATGCCAAAATGGGCTGTATTGTTGCTGGTTATCTGAAGTTTCTACCCATGTTCTTACTTGTGTTTCCTGGAATGGCCGCTAGAGTACTCTTTACAGGTATTTGATAGTTAACTTTGTTAACATTTTAGTTTTATGCCCCAAAACAATTATTATAAATATAATTAACAAGTTGAATGCCTATGATAGAAAATAGTGATTAATTTTTTCTTCTCAAAATTATATTTAAATAAATGTTTTATGAATATGTTTTCTAAACATTTATTATAATCTATTAACAATATATGTATGAAAAATAATTATCCTATTTTTTAGTATTTCACGAAAACAACATTTCTGTGTATATTTGGTCATCTCCTTTAAGTATTGCTTGATTGGCATATTAACTTCTGTATATTTTGAAATTATCTTCAAATACTCTTATAGATTAAAAAATGCGAAAAAACTGATTCTCAAAGACATATTCCTACTTGGTCAACTGTATGACTGCAAATGAGTAATTAGAATGGTAAATGCAGGGATTGTATTATGAATTTCTGGGTCTTCTCTTTGGACTGTCTTCCTGGTTTTGTTAGTCAGCTGTGCTTAAGAAGTGCGCTTTAATTTGGACATTTTCAAAATTGAAATGCGCTGCGGGTAAAACATGCGGGTTATTATAATGGTAGCCGAGGGTTCCGTTTAACAAAATTTGGTGATGTTGCGTCAATATGTCTCCTTGGAAACCAAGCAAACGTAATAGGGAATTTCAGGCAATTATTTTGTGCGCCAGCAATATCAAGTGTGAGGCGCGCGTACACTTTATTGGATTTTATTACTCATCAAATCTAATTATATGCCCAAAGTTGCGCATCATCCGTTATATATATATATATATATGGCTTGAAGAATTTTAAAAGGACGAACTTTCCATCGTTTTGTGCAAGTTGCAGATGTATAAACGATTGCTAATTTTAAAAAATCAGTTTATTCAATGACCTTCAAATTCTACCTATTTTTGTTAACATTCTTATATAATTATGAATTGTTTTTATCCTTATTGATTGAGCAATTAAAGTATTCAAAGTACGCCGTTCTAAATACTCAATACTAGGTTATTTTTGAGCTTTACTTGTGATAATTTTCTGTATGGATGAACTACGAAAAAGTACCTCCATGTGAACAACGTAAGTAGGCTTAGAGAGAGTTAAGCCTAGTTATATTTACCCTAAATTCTAAATAATGTTTCTTAGCCTAAATGTACATGAACTTTTCCGTTATTCTGTTATAGTCAACAATTTTATTTTCAAGCTAGGTATCAATAAGCAAAATGCCAGCTAATGTTTAAAAGCTTCTTCACATATCAAGTTACGATATATCAGCATATTTTAAAACTTAGATCAGATTGGCTGCTCAAGACCAGAAGCTTGTTACGCTGCTTGTAAAAATAAAGGTGGATGTTCAAATATTGCTTATCCTCTCTTGGTGTTGGAATTAATGCCACCTGGTGAGTTATATTCATTATAGAAAGATAAATGTTTGTGATACCATTTTTGTTTTTAAGAAAGATGTCTAATAAATAGGTGTTAAAAGCATAGCATTTGTATATAAGCGTTAAATAGTTGTATTGTTAAAATAAATATTAATTTTGAAATGTTTAAATAGGAATTTAAGGTATTCTTATCCATTTTTAACAAACAAAGATCAACTTCCAAGTAGTCCACTTAAAAATAGTTGTTATCTGTATGATATATCATGAAAATTGTCACCATAAATTATGGTTTTATATTCAATAAGATAAAAATCTCGTTACAACACACTTACCTTTAAACAAAATCCAGCATATTTTATACTTGTAATGGCCTATCACCACTGTTTCCAAGGTTTCGCTGAATTTTATTAGGCGCCAGAGGTCTGATGTTATCTGTGATGCTGGCGGCTTTGATGTCGTCACTCACGTCCATCTTCAACAGTAGCTCTACCATTTTCACCATAGACATCTGGACAAGAATCAGGAAGCAAGCAAAAGAAATGGAACTTTTAATTGTTGGAAGGTACAGTACATTTCAAAAGAAATGGAACTTTTAATTGTTGGAAGATACAGTAACATTTCAAAAGAAATGGAACTTTTAATTGTTGGAAGATACAGTAACATTTCAAAAGAAATGGAACATTTAATTGTTGGAAGGTACAGTAACATTTCTTCAAACCGGTTACTTTCAGCTAAGACATCTTTATCTAAAAGGATGGTTGATGTTTGAAATGTATTGTCTTCATATGTGATGGATGCATTTAACTGAAGGGAAAGCTTGACAAATATTTGAATTATAAGAACTGGATTTGAGAGTTTTACTTTTATTTTAGAGTTTAGTAACAGTAGATGGGATAGCTTAGTTGATCAACAGGTCCCTTGTTGTCCTTAATTTATATCTACTATCAGAAATGGCGCCAATGGGCGGCTGTTTGCGTTAGTAATTACAATCCATAGTATTAATACCTAATTATAAAAAAAATGTAAGAAAAAAGTGAAAAATTTTATAAAAAGTACTTTTTCTGGGAAGTATTGCACGGGAAGAGTGTTCGGATTGTACTCTTTATTTATACGCAACTCATTGCATCAAAATGATTCAATGTACACAACTCAACATTTTTATAAATCTTACTGATATGTAGTGTAATATTTTCATATATTGCGACATTTTTCTTAGTCTGTCATCTTTTTGCTTGAGAGATTCTTGAGCCCATCGTTCCTTTTGCCTTCTTCATCGCTCTCTCCTTTCATCATCATCTTCATACTTTTTGAATGGCTTTCTTTAGATCCTCTTCCTATAAGTTTAAAGCACACCCTAAGAATACAGAAAAGTTTTTAAACAATCAACATTTCATCTCTGCATCAATATGTTGAAGTTTAAATACTTTTCTGTAGTTTTGGTTACATACATAGATACTGACATACACGCTATGTCCATTATAGTATGATATATATATATATATATAGATG